ATAAGTATAAGTATATATATAAGTATATATATAAATATAAGTGTGTATATATATATACATATATATGTATATATATATACATATAAAAGCTGTTAATCGGTATAATAGTCTGTGCAGATGGCGTGTACTTCCGACTCTCTTCTCCTGGCCGAGAAAGGCTTCACTCGGCTCCAGTACTCTCTCAAGGACTGGATGTGACTCAGAATGCTCATCATGGGACTCTGCACAGCCCCTTCTAGTGAGCTGGCATGGGCTTGTGAAATGAATCCCATTTATATCCATGCCCTGAAAGAATTGAATCAAGTGTCTCAGCCAATGAAGTATCACCTCTGGGCCCTGAAAAAGGGGAGCCTTTGAAAATTTTTAAATTCTAAGTAATGCATTGGGAGGTACCATTGGTATACAGGTAGTAGTAACATTGTAGGACCTTAAGTTACCTCTCCAGAGAATACCATGATATAAGTGTTGCACTTTCTCTCTAGCACTTTTCTCTAGAGAGCTCAGCACCCTCTAAAGATGATCCATCTTTAAACTCATCCAAGGATTTTGTCGCACCACAACAGCTAACTTTAGTGACCTCTTAAGGCAGGGGTCCTAATCCAAGCTCTAATGTCTGGTAACCAGTGAAGCACTTCAATGAGTACAGATTTGAGAAGCCAGAAAACCTCAGATGTGCATACACATTCATTTGTTCAACAGATACATAGTGAATGCCTACTATGAGGCAGGTGTTCTAGGCACTGGTTATGCAACAGTGAACAGAACAGACACACACTCCTGCAACTCTGTATTCCAGTGGGTGCGTTTGCAACGGTGGGCTTTCCCCAAACACCATGCAGAGATGCATTCACTCCCATTCCCAGTCCTCAGGTGTGCTCTGTGCTTTAGAACTTGGGGAATCTCTCCAGCAGTGGTTTTCATTGTTTATTCTCTTTTTTCCCTGTTTTAGCAAGATGAAGAAACAGGTTCAGAGAAGTAAAATAATTTTCTCAGGGCACTTTGCAAGGAAGTGGCAAAACTGAATCTTGATTCTAGATCTGCTGACCTGGATTAAACTCAAAACGTGGTTCTCTGGCCATTGGACAACTGGAGCTCCATAGCAAATGGGGCTTTTCAGTAGTCTCATTAATTTCATGCTCTTTATTCAGCACACATTAACCAAGTACCTTATCTGAACTTAGGAAGTGCCATTTTAGAAAACACAGGTATCTTTGTGGTAACACTTTGGTGTCCACAGCAGTGTCTGCGTTTCCTGTTCAATTCACTGATACACTTGAGCCTGTTCTGCCCTGGGAAGATTTAAACTGCATTCCCTTTCTCTCACCATCTGTGTCTCAGGTGCGAATTGCTACAGAAGGAATCAACGGGACAGTGGGCGGAAGCAAATTGGCCACCAGACTCTATGTGGAAGTCATGCTTTCCTGCCCATTGTTTAAGGATTATCTCTGTGAGGATGATTTTAAGGTAAGAGACATTGAAAAGGAAATGGCTCTAGAGCCGTGCCTCGTTGCCTCTTCCTGCTGTAGGTATGAAGAGAGGGCAATATGAGAAATACGCAGTGCCAGACAACTACCCTTCCCCATTGCCAGGTGACAAGGCAGTGTGTGGGAAGGACGTGATGGTTCCACATCTTCCACTGAGTCGCCATGTGGTCTTGGACAAGTTAGTGCCCTCTCTGGACCTCAGTCTCCCTTCCTAAAGAATAAGGTTGACACAGTTGACAATGATCTAAATCAGGGGTGGGCAAACTTTTGACTGGAGGGCCACAATGGGTTCTTAAACTGGACCGGAGGGCCGGAACAAAAGCATGGATGGAGTGTTTGTGTGAACTAATATAAATTCAAAGTAAACATCATTACATAAAAGGGTACGGTCTTTTTTTTTTTTTTAGTTTTATTCATTTCAAACGGGCCGGATCCGGCCCACAGGCCGTAGTTTGCCCACGGCTGGTCTAAATTCTGAAACTTAGACATGTTTGCTTATTTGGGAGACTGCCTGGCTATGTCGGTAAACCTGGAATGATCAGATCAGCACTTCACACAGGGAACGAGGTTGCTCTTACAGCTCAGGTGATAAAGGTGGTGGGAAATACCTTGGGAGTTAATGCTGTGGTGATAGGTAAAGAGAGGTCATTGCTCCAGGACAAAAGCTGTGACCTAATCTTACCTGGTGAAATTGCTCAGTGGTGTTTCAATTTTAAATGCTTATTGCTATAGAAACACCTTTTCAGTGTAACATTTCTGAACATGGTAGATATGCGGTAAATAAGTACCAAATATAAGAATTCTTTTATAATAATACCATAGCTGTAGTATTAAGAAGTCTCAAATTAGAAAACCTGTTTTAATGGGAAATGGGAATTACGGCCTAGACTGTTCCAGAAAATTCAGCATTATTATCTGCTTTGTTTCTCATTGGCTAGACCAGCAAAGGAGGAGCATGCTGTTTCCCCGAGTTGCGTGTTGGTGTATTTGAAGAAATTGTGCCTATGGGGATCAGTCCCAATAAGATCTCCTACAAGAAGCCTGGTATGCTTGCTTTTAGAAGGACAAAACAATAGAGAGACAGATGTGAAAGTTAGACACATCTGTCAGCTAGAGTTGTGATGAATCCTTCCATAAATAACTGTGGGGTGGCTAACATTTGGGTCATTTAATGCTTAAATTGGTCTTCTTTTTGGAAACTCCCCCTCAGAAGGACCTTACTTATTCTTGATGACGGTTTGGCAAGAAGTCGTTTTCTCTTTAAAGATAGCAGTTTTGGAAGAGTGCAATTCTTACTTGTAAATAGTTTATCAACTAATTTTTTGGTTTGATTTTAGGAATCCATTTGTCCCCGGGTGAATTTCATAAAGAAGTAGAAAAGTTTTTGTCTCAGGCAAATCAAGAACAAAGTGATACTATCCTCCTGGACTGCAGAAACTTCTATGAAAGCAAAATAGTAAGAACCAGAATTGAGTCCCCACGGTATGGCATGTTCCCCAAGGAAACATGTGTGTGCCATCAGAGGTCAAGTCACATGGATCTCTTCCCACTGCTAGCAGCCTCAGAGAAAACCCCAAGCCTTCCAACTCAGGATCTGATGAGAAAACCTAAGAAAATATGAGTTACAGACATATTGGCAAATAATGTGTGTCCTGGATCCCAGGTGCCTACCCTCGACACATGTCAAGGATCTTATAAACTTCACTTTGGGCAGCCTCTCCAGTTCCCCTGAAGACTGGGAAGGTGACTCACAGTTTGCCAGCCATGTCTCTTAAGTTCCAGATCTTAAAGTTGAAAGGTTCAGAGTGTGTGATGAGAACAGCAACTAGCTGGTGTTTCCTTGCCAAGGAAGGGGGTGGGGGAGGGGAGAAGGAGGGGGACAGAAAAAAGCATACCAGGTATACTTTTTTTAATCATTTTCCTTCTGTCCCACATTGTAGGGACGCTTCCAGGGCTGCTTAGCCCCAGACATCAGGAAATTCAGTTACTTCCCTAGCTACGTTGACAGAAATCTAGAACTTTTCAGAGAGAAGAGGGTACTGATGTATTGCACTGGGGGCATCCGTTGTGAGCGGGGTTCCGCTTACCTCAAAGCCAAGGTGAGTCACCCTCCTTGGGGCACCACAGGCCTGGCTGTGAAGAAGGCATCATCCACAGCATGTGTGGAGCTCCCCCTGCCCCCCTTCATTCCCTCTCCCATCCTGGCCATCAAGCTTAGAGTTTATAAGTACAAAATATGAAGTTCTTAAATCTTAAGATGTGAAAAACACTCAGTAGTCTTAGAAACTCATCAGGTACAAATGGGAAAGATTTATTAACGTTTCCCTTTGCCTAATACTTTTGCTTGATCCTGAGAAGAGCAAATTCAGTAACATTACATGTCCCAACAGGTGTCTTTCTATATTTAGGGGGTGGCAAAAATAGTTGAGCTTCCACAATCTAGAGAGTGAAGGCCCTGACTGCTATCATCACCCATCTTCCCTCCCCTGACCCCCCTCCCGTAAGCAAGATCTGGCCAGTTGCTTCCTTGCACCCTTGGTCAGCAGTTTCTCAGTGTCCTGCAGTGGGAGCCAGGAGCCAACATTGGGCATCCTCACCACGTGCCACTCCTCTGTGGAGCTTCTTCCTGGCCTCTGCTTGTCTCCTGAATCTCCTGCTGTTTTTCCACACATAGGGAGTGTGCAAGGAAGTGTTCCAGCTCAAGGGTGGCATCCACAAGTACCTGGAGGAGTTTCCTGACGGTTTTTACAAAGGGAAATTGTTTGTTTTCGATGAGCGTTATGCTTTGTCCTACAACAGTGACATAGTGTCAGGTAAGTCAGCACAAGCCTAGAACCTAAACTCACGATCAAGCACACTCTCTGTGTGAACCATGCAGGAAGGCAGGCCAGCACTGATTCTGTGAAGAATAAAACAGGGAGAAGGCATGCGTGGCACCACCACTGCCCAACAGAGTTGGAGATGTAGAGGTACAGCAGAGTCAGGAGGCCTATGTTGGGATCCTGGCTTCACCATTTACTCGTTAGATAAGTCCTAAAAATGGAGATAATGTCCCTTGCTCTCTCTGCCTGCTCGGTGATGAACTAATAGGCTAAATCAGGGTTCTTCACACCTGGGGTCAATATGTAGAATTCAGGAATTCTGTGAATTTGGATAGGAATTAGTAATTTATTTTCATAACCTCTCACTAAATGTAACACTACCATCAATTATGAATACAAGCAACAAATCAGTAGTACTAGATGTACCTGTGACTTCAGTAGAAATCAGTATTTTCATAGATTACAGTTGCTACCTATATCTCAAAATCGCATTTGTTCATCATTGCTTCCAAATGGAAATAGCTATTAGGCCCATCACTAATTTTTATTATTTAATGTGCTAATATCTTATTATATTCCAGATTTTAAAAAATATTTTAATATTTTGTATTTCTATATAATTGGTGTCCTTTGTAATCATAGGTAGTTTATTTTATGCATTTAAAAACATATATTTCTAAGAGTTCATAGTCTTCACTAGACTGACAAGTAAATCTATGGCACACAGAAAAAGATTCCCCTAGTTTAGATGGTCTGTGGACACATGTGGTCTTGCACTTTTGCATGGTGGGTGGGGCATTCCAAGGTGGGAGCTGAACCTAGGGCCAAGGCCAGAGGCAGAGGTGGCCACAGGTAGCGGTGCTGACAGGAAATGTGTGGTTTGACTAGTTTTGAGTCCACACTAAAATGTGGTACCAAATGAAGGCAGTCCGTGAAGAATGGAAATAGTCCTTTAGGAAAAGGGCTCTTGATGCCACAGTCTTGAGCAGGAAAGGTCACGGGCAGACATCCCTAGTGGCTATTGCAGTTTTCTAGAGTGGGGATCAGAGACTGAGATTGCATGACTACTCGGATAATAAATAAAATATGAGTTGGATCGTTCTCTTTCCTTCTTAATCTTTAATTGTTTTGGATAGTCTTGTATTTGTGTCTGTTATTGAAAGTTATTGCACATCTGTTTTGGAGTTAGGTGGAGTATAAAGGGAAGAGAGAAGGCCTAAAGGTAACTTAGATAAGCTAGGTAAAGAGACTTGAAGAAGGATGGTACCGATGGTAACAGAAGCCAGCAGGAAAAAACCCGCTGAGAAAGTAGATAAGTATGAGTTTTAGGAATCCCAGTGGCAAGTGTCTGTTAGCAACAAACAGCAGGAGAACCTCAGGCCTGGGGAAGAGGGATGCAGAGCTGAGTTGAGATGTGGGATCATCTGCATTCAGGTATGTTGTCTCCCAGTGAAAAAGGGAGGGATCTAAAGGAAAAAGACCGTTGAACAAGAGGGTGGTTGGCTAGCTTTGAAATAGTTAATGAAAGAGAGAAGCATTCCTATTAGTATTTGTTTTTAAATGGGAAAAGGAAAAGTGGATCGGTGAATGCTGGAATCAGAAAGACAATTTCCAGAAGCAACCTCTCCCCCCAAAAAGGGGATGAGGAGTGTTTTTTGTTAGAAGATAGGAGACTTACTTACTATTTAGAAATCTTCCCCGGATGCAACAGGATATATTCAATTCTAATGAGCTAAGAGTTATATTTAGGAACTGGAGAAGTGCATGTGCGTATGTGTGTGTTTATAACAAAGATTGTTCTTCTGTCCCCAGAATGTTCATACTGTGGAGCCCCATGGGACCAATATAAACTCTGCTCCACTCCCCAGTGCCGTCAGCTCGTCTTGACCTGCCCCGCCTGTCAAGGACAAGGACTAACAGCCTGTTGTGTCACATGTCAAGACAAAGGGAGCAGGCCGGCTTCAAGCCCTGCCCAGCACAGCTTTAAAGAGGAATGTGACTGTACAGCCCGACGGCCACGCATACCCAGTGAGCTTTCACAGCAGGCGCCACCCCCCCTGAGCCCGGAGCCAAGACTTGATGTTGCTGAGGACGGGCCCTGCTTGTGTGAGCGGCACCGGCAACATTTCCCTGAGGCTTCACAAAGTTAGGTTTGAAGCAGCCATGTATTCGGAAATAGCCAGGCTGCAGCAACAGAGAAATGGGGAACTTGGGTGCTGGCCAATGACACCATGGCACACTGGTCACTTATTGGCCACTTATCCTATATAATAAAAGCCTAATATGCTAAGTATCTGGTGGTCCGGGCGGCTGTTCAACCAATCAAAGCATAATATGCTAATGATCTGCTAAGTCTGCTCAACCACTCGCTATGACGTGCATTGACCACCAGGTGGCAGACATTCCAACCGGTAGGTTAGCTTGCTGCTGGAGTCTGGTCAATGGGGACTGAGTGAGATGGGCTGGACATGCCGTGGAGCCCTCCCACAGTCCCTCCCTGGCTGGCCAACCTCCTGCATCCCTCACCAGCCCTGATTGTGCACCGGTGGGTCCCTTGGCCTGGCCTGTGCCCTATTGCAATCCAGGACCCCTCAGGGGATGTTGGAGAGCCGGTTTTGGCCTGATCCTGCAGGCTAGGCCGAGGGACCCCACTGGTGCACGAATTCGTGCACCGGGCCTCTAGTACTTCATAAGAGGAGAGAAGAGGGAGTTGGTGCTGACCACTTACCTGAGACATTCTGACTCAGAAGATGCTAGAGCACAGAAAAAGGTGAGCTGTGGGATCCCATAGCAGCTGAGGAAAAGAGCCTTGAGCCTGGCAACCAGGTCATGCCTTTTCTGTGCCAGGTGTCAGGGCTGGTAGCAGTCATTTTTCTTATCATCATACCTGTCTGTCCTGATGATAAAAGTGTGAAAGCTGTGACCCTGGAAGTAGACTCCTTGGAACAAATCCCATTAGTCACCTGCCATCCACCCCAACCCTCACCTCATCTCTGTTACCCTGCACTAGACCAGGATCTGGCCCACCTCTTGCTTTTTTAAATAAAACTTCATTGGGATAACCACACCCATTTTTTTTTTTTTACATATGATTTAAGACAGAATTAAGTATTTACAGCAGAAAAGTTATGGCTTGCAAATCTATATTATCTGGTCCTTTACAGAAAAAATTGCCACCTTCTGGTCTAAACCAACAGCTCTACTGATGGAACAGATGGTCATAAAGATGTGGCTCACCTTCATTTTTTATTGATTTGGTTTTTAACAGAGATTTTCCCCTAATAATCTGTTTTCCCTAGTATCCACCACACTTTGCTTTTAAGTATTTTCTTTGAGGGATTCAGATTAGCTTGATGACAAATATGGGCAGTTTTTACACAAGTGCCTTGGGATACAAGACATTCTGAGTGAGGTCATCCAGCACTGCCGTGGTTTCCCGGCCTTGTCGGGTGCGTGTCCCTGTCACACAGGTCCCAAGAAACACATACGCAGTCATTCATAGACCAACAGATTTAATGTTACATTGCAGTTTCCAGTGATGCAGAATACAGCTGCAATTGTGTTTCAAGGAGAAGCCGGTGGTGCCACTCCTGGGCCCATCTGCAGCCTCGTAGACACTCTTCCACAGAGGGCCACCTCTGGTTACCCTGCACCGTCCACGGCATTACAATTCAGTGTGCAAGACTTTTCCTTTCTCGTCAAAAGCCTCTCTGCTCAGTGCTCTGCAGCAGTCTGCTCGTCAGCTCTTTGGCGTGGCCTTTATCAGGAGATTTGTCCTATCACTCATGAATGTAACTTCCCAAGCAACAGAAATACTAGCTCGACTGGCACTGTGGTATGTTAAAAGGCACAAGGGCATTGTGGCTTCACTTTTTTGCTGGATCCCAAGAAGTGCCATGATGTTAAAAGGATGCGGCAGAGATACCAAAATTACGTTTTCAGAATCACCATCCTGGGATAGTTTGGCCAGGGTTTCCTAATTCATTACTATCTGGGTCTTCCCCGTTGGCTTCTGAGGCTTAACTTTTTAATTAAGATTAACAGTGAGGTGTCTAGTAAGTGCTGCCACAGGTAGTTGCAAGTCTGTCAGCATAGACTGGAAATTTATCCCTCTAACATTTGACTTCAAGTAAGCCATTAGCCCACTGTGCAATATAGAAAGGTGTTTTCAAGTATTTGGCCACAGGTTTTCATATCCATCATAAGGTTAGCATTCAATAAAGGAAAAAATTCTTTCTGACTCCGATATTAAATTGTAAATAAACCCCAGATGCCATAAAGAACACTCCAGGAGCTGTTTGTTGCCTGGGATTGGTAAAGACAGGATGGTTTTTGAAACTTGGAATTTCCTCATATCCAGCAAAAGGAATCTTGTGTTCTTTGATTCCTGGCAGAGTTCAGTGGCTTTAGTCTTTCTGTCTGTCTTGGGGGGGAAAAATTGTGTTCTTGATCCATCAATCAATTTGGCAACTTTAATCTTGAGGTTCTTCAATTTAAAGGAGGGTTAATAAAAAACCTTTTCTGCTGGCTAAATAGCTAAGATCGAATTTGTAATAAAGTATTGTATAATGCTTCTACACCGTGCGAAGAGTGTGCTGTTTGTTCGTGCATTAAGCATAGTCAATACACCTGAAACGCCATATAGCAAGGCCACCAAAAACAGGCTCTCAGCTAAGTCACTGCTGCTGTAACGTCATCTTCAGGAAGATCTGCCGGTCCAGGGGCTTCTTAGTTTTTAAACAATAACCAGACTGAACTTCTGTGACTAAAGAAAAACTTCACATTAACCATAATTTATAAAATTTCAACTGTAACCACTAGTTATTCTAAAGCCTTTGTGCATAAAGAACTGAACCACAAAAGGGTTTGTGCCGACATTCTGCCTTCTGGCTTCCACTGCAGAGCACAGATTATCAGTAGAATGTGTCCAGTTCAGAGGCGTGGTCATCACGGCCACACACTAGACTCCACTCCGGCACTTGGGAATGATGGGCCCAGTCAAGTCTGCGAGCCTCCTCTTCCTCACTGGAAAGGAAGGGAGATGAGATGTAAGCCAGTTGTCCCTGTGCACCAGGAACCACCTCTGTGGCTCAGAAAGCGCTGTGAGCTTCTCGCTAACGCTTTGGTTAGCAGAATCTGAAGCCAGTTGTTTCTAAAGGGTAGTTATGTGTGGTCGTGTAACGGCCCTCCCACTTGTCAGCGTTCACCGATGAGGGTCTGTGGTAATGTAGATTCATTCATAAATTACTTCTAAGTCGCTGACCTACAGGTATAAAACGCCTTTATCCAGCTCCACTGCTTTCACTTTACGTACAGAGGCCCTGCGGCGAAGATCCTTAGTCCACTTCAGATAAGAGTTAAGTCAGTCTCCTTAGTAAGTAAGACTAGGGTCTTAACTGCTGCATACATATCCCTTGGCTTTCTCAGAGTTCCTGGCCTCCCTCCTGCCTATGTAAACAACAGTGTCTACACGATGATTCCCCTGCATTATCTGTCCCCTCAGGGTTAACCCTGACATTTTCCCAGACGCAAAACATAAGCTCAAACGCAATCACAGAACAAAGTAGTTAAAAGCCATAAAGAAGAAAGAAGAAAACACTAGCCAGGAGGTTGCAGGCTGGAGGCATTAGCTTATAGGACCATGGGACAGGGAACAGGGTTCCCTTGGTTGTAACAAGGGAGAGTGTTCTGAAATGAATTAAGTGTCTGCAGATGAAGACCAAGCAGCAAGCTAGATCAGCCACGAGAGGAAGAAGTCTGTAGAGCTGGAAGGTGGCCGTCAGGGGGCTGCTGGTGTGGCAGACAGGAAGCGGAGGAAAAAGGACTGTCTATACTTAGATGTCCTCCAGTTCGCGAGCCGAGCCGGTAGACCTGCAGCCAACAGATGGATGAATAGGAGCTGCAACAAGAACCGAATCAGCTTGTGCAAACAGGGAGCCTGAATAGCAGAACCACCTTGGAAGGTGTGGTACTCGGGTTGTGGCTGGGAGCTGGGGGAGGGGCATGGGGCACAGGGCACCCAGTATGGGGCCCAGAGTTCAGCTGGTGCCTGAGCTCCTGCACACCCCTTTGCCCCCATCTGGAGAATAATAAATGCAAATCAATGGGCAATCTCCTGATGAGAAAACAATGGAACTATCAGAATGTCCAACAGCTTGGGTTAGATGTGGAGCAACAAAAACCCTAAGAGTAGAAGAGGCTCACCTGAGGTGACCAAAGGGTTATGATTCAGGGGTGGGGAACGTCTGGCCCGTGGGCCATATAAGGCCCATGAAATCATTTGATCCGACCCTGCCAAGGCACTAGGAATGAGTCAATTAAATGTCTGACCAAGTATAGCAGCCTAATTTTTAAGTTGATAATTCTGTATGGCCCTTGAATGATGTCATAAATATCCAAATGGCCCTTGGCAGAAAAAAGGTTCCCCATCCCTGGTTATGAGAACAGACCTTTAGGCATGTCCATGTTACCTGTGCAAGCATGCCTGGCAGGGCAGCCTCTTTACACCTCTTTTGCATGCAACACCTCATTGCAGCCCCTCCACAATTCTGGAATGTCAGTGTTGTTACCATTTCCGTGTTATGGACAAGGAAAGAAGGGCAGAGAGAGGGTACACTTCCTGCTCAAAGCACCACAGCTGGTACCAGAGAGAACCAAGGCTTGTGCCTCAGTCCAGCGCCTCTCTCAGTACCACTCAAGCCCTCCATATGGGTTTTACATATCAACAGCTCATCTGGTTCTCACAGGACATTAGCTCCATTCCCCTGGACAAAAAAAGAGCCAGGATCCTGAAAGCTGGTGGTAGAGTCAGGACTGGAACCTGGTCCCCAGCCCAAGCTCCGGGTATAGAAAGGGATGCCTTCCGTGTTCCTTTCCCCACTACATGCCCTCACTGCGTACACTGGGCTGGGTCTGTCCTAAGTTCCCCTGCACTGATGTCGCAGGGACTGGGTGAGGAGAGGGGGAGGCACCCACTTACTCAATATTCTTTCCCCCCATTTTAAGGAAATTGAGGCCAAGAGAGGGAATAACATGCTCCAAGTCACGAGAATAAGTGACAGAACTGGGAGTAGAAGCTGGGTCTCCCAATATCCACCTTCCATTCAATCTGCTTTTTACTTCCACTAAAGCAAAATGCTCTGTGTTGCTTATCATTGCAACATCACGAGACTCGTTTATCAGAGCCAGAAGGAATCTTGAGTCATCTGGACCGACCTCCGTGGTGGCTTGAGCTCCCTCCATCACTTCCCGCCAGGCTTGGACACCTCCATCACGTCTTTGGGGAGCATT